AACTTCATCTAGTACACCAGAGGATCGAATCGCCTCTAGCTTTCTTGTTTGAATCACCCCCTTTCGTAACAAGCCCTCGTCGTAACGTTGTAAGCAGTCCTGGGATCACCGCCCTTTTTGTTGGAGAAGCCACAGTCATCATGGTCTCGGACGAACACTACGATCTGTGCCTGCCCATTTTGCAGGACACGACTTTAGAAGATGAGGACAGGACAGACAAGCTGGAAGAGCTTCTGAAGAAGGAGACCAACCTGACTGGCTCCTCGCTAGACAATGTAATTCTCGATGCAATGTGGAGGTTTCGAGACGGAGGAGGCTCGTCAGCTTCTCCCCCTCCGATAAGATCGTCCATCCTGCGACGGCCGTCTCCGGCCTCTTGGCGTGGGTCTCCGACGCCATTATCCGGCTCTCCAAGACTTGCCGTGAGCCCTCTCGCTCCGCCAGGCTTCATCCCTTCAACCTTCCAGAGGGCCAAGTCATCTACCGCCTCTCCGTTCTCTTCGCCGCGAGCATCCCCCCGGCTGGCCCTAGCCACACCAGTTATTCCTCACAGTCCAAGCCTGAACGCCTACGAATTCGCCAGTGACGCCAGCCCTGCGACTGAGATTCTCGGCGATTATCAATCTGAGAATGTGGAATGGCTAGTCAACGACGACGCTGCCAGCACGTCGTCATCCGTCGGCACACCTAGTCTTTTGAATGCCGCGGCACCGGAGTTTTCATCCATGTCCTCGCAACAGATTGACATGTCCCCATACGACATGCTCCGATCAATCCTGGGTCAAACCAGAACAGATGAAGAGATCGAGGCTGCGCTGGCCTCACACGGCTACGATTTGAGTGCTACCATTGCGTCCATCATGGAAAGTCAAAGTCAAGACGGAGGGCCACCTCTCAATAGCTTGGATGAGCCTAAGAGTGTGTTGATCGGGAAGTCGATTTCTTCAGACGGACGCCCAGTTACGCCCAATAGTCAATCCAAAGGTAGTGTCATTTGCAAGTTTTACATGTCCACCGGCCAGTGTTTACGAGCCGACTGTCGATTCAGCCACGACCTGAGCAACCATCTCTGCAAGTAAGTAAAATCAACACTATGGCTTTTCACAATCTAACTGTATTTATAGATATTGGATCATGGGCAACTGTCTTGCTGGCGGCACTTGTGTGTTTTCTCATGATCCATCAAGATTCATGAACAAGCTTTCTCTGGATGACCCAAGCGGCACGAGCAAGAGTCAGGGTAATAATATTACGCTGCAGGATATGGCATCTTTCCCTGCATTGCAGCATGGAGGAGAAAGTTTGAACAATTTTGGCGGTGCGGGTGCCAGCCTCATAGCTGCTGGATTGAATCCGCCCCAAGGGCCCAGAAGCTACCATGGCGCGGAGAGTCCGCGGTTGCGTTCCCGGCCCGGTAGCCGCCACCAGATCAAGGACATTACTGCTACTGCTCCTGCCATTGATGATAACGAGGCGTTCCCGTCCCTCGGTTCTGCTCCGACGAAACAGGGCAAGAAGCACCATGGCAAGCGTGGTGGTCATGGACACCACAAGGAAAATGCTGTCCCAAACTCTCTGGCGGACATTGTCAAGATGTCACCTTCACCCACTCCCGGTTCGCCCAGACTTGAGTCTAGAAGACTAGGTAACGGTAACTCTGGTGCCAACAGGAATGGTGAGAATAGCGCAGCAGCCCAGGCTATCCAAAACCCGAAACACATTCCTTGGCTGGAAACCGGTGATCGAGTGAACAAGGCGTACCTCAAGGCTCGCCAAGAGGCCATCAAGCACGGTGGCCTCCGCAATAAATTTTTGCAAAGGTACTTGTTGTCTAGCAGCATGTGGTCTTGAAAATATGCTTCTAACATTGAAATGCTAGTGCGGCCCAGGCCTGGAACCGAAACGATGCCAGAGCTGCCAAGGCTCTTAGTCTGCGGGGACAAAGTGAAAACGAGTTGATGCGAAAAGCACATAGAGAGGCAGCACGAGAACTTTACGAGCACCGCAATAAGAATATGGGCTCTGCGGCCGAGATTTATGTAGATCTTCACGGACTTCACCCGGAGGAAGCAGTAGAATATTTGGAGAAGATTCTGATGGATAACAGCAAAGAATCGAGGCCTGTCTATGCTATCACTGGCACGGGTCATCACAGCAAAAATGGTAAAGATAAGGTCGGCAGGGCGATCCGCAGCTTTCTCAACGAATGGCGGTATGCATATCGCGAATTCTCTGTACCTGGCGATAGAAACAGCATGGGGGGCATTATTGGCATTGACGCACGCAGCTGGGACAAATCCTTGGCGAGAGAGGGGGCGGAGGGGGCGGCGGAGGACAAGGAAGAGGTTGATATCCTGAGTCAAGGTGTTGAGATTGGTGACGGCAAGGTCAGACTGTTGGTGAGGGACCCTCCGAAGGGCCCCAGTGGCCGGCGGTAACGATGTAGAGCCAAAGGAAGTAAAAGACAAAACTTTACAAAACAATACACATGCGCCCTAGGGATGCTATGGGTTGATATAGGTTGTTTTGCGTGGATTGTGACGCCCCGGATTTCAAAAGTAAATGAGACGGCTGTCACTATATGTAGTAGCAAGTAGAATCATGGTCAAAATATTATACATTAGATTGGTGCTGACGCTCCTTTGGTTGCTGATTATCAGTATGATGGGGTGGAATGGCATTATAGAAGACGGCCAACAGGACAGCTGCGGCAGCCGGACCAAACCACCATATCCATTGGTCTGAAGAGACAAAAGATTTAGCCTTGACAGTCTCAAGTATTGACCAAAAAGAAGAAGAAAAGCCTACTCACAAGACATGTCTTTCCTCGCAATGGCAGCAGCAAAACACCGCGCAGGGTTCGCCTGGGCGCCTCCATAGCCCTCGGCAATGCCACTGCTCGCAAACGAAACGAGTCCGAGCGAAGCACCGACAAGCAACGGCCCCAGCCGGGGACCGAAAAGGATGGCCTGCCGGGGGTCCAGGCCGACGCCGTACGCGAGGTAGAGGACGACAAAGGAGGCGGCGGCCTCGTTGAGGAAGACCTGGCCGGCCGAAGTCACGGACGGGGTGAAGAAACACCCTCCGCCGTGAATGCTATATCCCCATTGTGTCAGTCTACCAAAAAAAAAAGGGCGCGCGCGTACCCGGCTGCTTTCTCTTCCCCCCAGACTCCGGTCAATATGCCGCCTGCCAGCGATGCGCCGAGCAATTGCGCGCAGAGATACAAGACGCCTACAGTCATTGGTTTTTTTTAGCCTGGCAATACCATGTGAACGAGGGAGGTTCCTTTGCCCGAACCTCGTGGCACGGGACATATCCCCGCCAGGATGGCCGAAAAGGTAATCATGGGGTTCATGTGGCCGCCGGACGCGGGGCTAGTGGCGTATATGAGGATGGCGAGGAGGATGGTGTTGAATATGCCGATGTAGCCGCCTATCCGGGGCGTGTTGTAGCTGACGAGCGTGGAGGCGGCGAGGAGGGATGCATATGCCAGGCACGAGGTGGCGATGGCTTCGACGACCTTGGTGTTTCCCGTCTCGTCTTAGCAATGGCATTCTTATTCTTTTTTGGGCAGGGGGGGGGGTCTCGGCGTACGGCGGCCCTCCAGATAGCCGGGCTCAGCCATCCGGCTAGGAAGTAGTCCCTGTCTTTGTACCACGGTTTCTCGCGGCGGACGGTTGGGCGCACGAGCGGCGCAAAGGAGCCGTCAAAGGCGGCGACGCTCATGCCTCTTTCGAGCGTGGGCTTGGACTCTTCAGACACGCGGTCGGGGGTCTGGGGCGCGGAGGGCATCACGCTTTGTGGGGGGGGCGATGACGGGGCGGCACGTTTGCTCATTTTGCAGGCGGCAATTCCTGTGTATTATATGTTTTTTCTTTTGTTTTTCTGGAGAGCACGGGGGTAGAGGATGATGTTGTGTAAGTCGGGTTTGAAGGGTTAATTAAAGTGGGTTACGACATGCAAGTAGTTAGTAGTTAATCCCGGTGTAGCTACCGAGGTACATAGCTCGTCTGGTAATTTATTATGCAGAACAAAGTACCTAGGTAGCTAGGGGGTGGCAAGGGCGCGCAGAAGTGGGGCTTAGTCACACTGCGTAAGCGCGTGTAAGCATTAGGCGCCGCAGGAGACGGGTCGTGTTCAGAGTTGCGTGAGGATTGGTAAGAGGGCATGTTGGAAAGGGCCGCCGCGGCTATTGCTATTACGTACTGCGTGTCCAGGGGGGATGTCGGGGTTGCGACATTGAGGAGTAGGTCGCTTGCTTATACTCGCTCACATGAGACCGGGTGGGTGGCCCGCGCACGATGCATAATTACCATCTTCTAGGTTCTACAGTAATCCGTACCACCAGGGGAAGAGAATGTCCCCTATGACACTGTCGAAATGATTTACCAAGCGCACCATGGCCGCCTTTTGAACCGAGCCGTGACCAAAACAAAAGACAAAAAGTCTTGTTGCACAAACAATGCCAGTTTTTATTTTTTTTATTTTTTTAGGCGCCGGCAGCAGCCGAAGCAGGTAGAACAAGTGGGGCAGGGCTGGTCAGAACTCGGAGCCACGCACACACGCTTTACCGAGCTCGAGCCTCACACCGTCACACACACCGTCACACACCCCCCAGGCCTCAAGCCCCCCTTGTGCCCGTTCGGCCCAGCGTCAACGTCAATCTTGGGTCATCCGTCAAACGGCCTGTGAAACACACGCCTTCAATCGCCACGCGTCTCGTTCTTCATTGCCACAAACCACCAAAAGGCATTGTTGCGCAACTCCAGAAAAGCTTTTGTCGAGCCATCCGCCTTGGTCCTTTGCCCTGAGCATTAAGTATTACTACCGCCACCCATTGACCCACGAAGTACTTCCGCCGCATCACCGAACATCCGAGCGGCCACCGCATCGACCCAAAGTATCCTTCTTGGCCTCACCAGAACCACCACATGATGAAACCGTAGCCTCTTCCCATCCGCCATTCCGCCTCGATTCCGCACAAACTCCATCTCACCATGGCCTCGGGCTACTCAGCGGCCAACCAGCCGCCGGGCACGTCGCCCCCATCGTCCTCGCCATCACCACCACCGCAACCCTCATCCTCATCCTCATCCTCATCGCCCTCGCCGTCACCCAGCTCCTCCTCCGCCAGGGCTTCCCCCGAGCCCGTCCGCTGGTCGCGCCGCAGCTTCTCGCCGTCCGGCCGCCTCTCCGGCGCCATGCGGCGCGCCCGGTCCTCAAGCGCACCCCGAACGCTCCTCCAGCGCGCCTGGAGAAGATATCTCGACTGGAGCCGGTGGCTCGTCCAGTACTACCTCCGCCTGTCGCCGCTGCACCGCGTCCTCGCCGTCCTCGGCTGCCTCCTCGGCTGGGCCCTCATCGTCCTCACCGTCGTCTACTCGCACCGCTTCTTCAGCTGGCTGACGCCCGTTGCCAAGTCGTGGCGCGAGCTCCCCGGCGGCTGGCTCATCGTCTTCGCCCTCATTTTCGTGACCGCCTTCCCCCCCGTCATCGGGTACTCGACCGCCAACACCATTGCCGGCCTCGTGTACGGCTTCCCCCACGGGTGGCCCGTCGCCGCCGTGGCCTGCACGCTCGGCAGCCTCGGCGCGTTCCTCGCCAGCCGCACCGTCCTGAGCAGATACGTCGACCGCATGGTCGGCAAGGACCACCGCTTCATTGCCCTCGGCCAGGTCCTGCGCCGCGACGGCATCCTGTACCTGACCGCTATCCGCTTCTGCCCGTTGCCCTTTAGCCTGAGCAACGGCTTCCTGGCCACGATCCCAAGCATAACACCGCTGTCGTTTACAATCTCCACGGCTCTGTCCACGCAAGTTTTCTCCGCTCCCTCTTTCCCCTCTCTCACCCGTTCTGTAGTCTTCGTCACCCCAAACTAACCGACTGTATACATGTAGCCCCAAGCTCCTCATCCACGTCTTCATCGGCAGCCGCCTGGCCGTCCTCGCTGAAGAAGGCGACAAGATGACCGCTGGCGACAAAGCCGTCAACTACATCGGCATGGCCGGCGGCGGCATCCTCGGGCTTGGCGACCGGCTCCCAATT